TTTTTTTTTTAACTGGAAAAAAAAAAAAAAAAAAAAAAAATCTGTCTTTTTCTCCACCAGTTCCCAAAAAAATGTCTGATACACAAAAATATACGATTAAGTCCCGTGGGAAAATAGGAAACACCACATATTAACATCAATACTAATGGACATTATTGTAAGAGTCTCGATTGCATATCATGGCAAGTTATATGCACTAAATCATTGACCTATTTCAACAGTTTCTTCAGTTTTTGGTGGACAGATTCGTAAATCGATTTCTAAATATATTTCGGAAATATTTTGGTTAGAAAAAAACGTAATGTTTTCACTTACCGACCCATATATATATATATATACATATGTATATATATATATATATACATATATATTTACCTGCGGGAGCAACACACGAATCATATTTACGCCAGATGCCACCCAGAGTCCCCCCAAACACTTCAGTGTTAATAAGAAAAAACATACGGCTTCGATTCATATGATATGTTACAAACAATGAAGCGATTAGGGGAACTCAAGGGGACATTTGACTCATTTGTCTTGCTCCTCTGTTGCTATACTGACCATTATATATGCATCAGAAACTCCATGTATATATGTATACTTATGTATGTATACATGTAGCACAAAAGGGTTTATTCTTCTTCCTTTGCTCTGGAATTTTCTTGATGGACCATCAAAGATTCTTAATAATTCAAAACGTGTCCAAAAAATCCAGATAACCGAAGATGAACGTAGTCGGGGTTTCGGGCTTCGTGGGCTTTTGACGGAATAATATCTCGAGCAAGTTGCTTGAAATCTTCATGTGGTGTGGTCTTTTCCCCACAGGAGCCTTCTTCGGGCTTATATCTTATATTATATTTTTTTTCTACATATAAAGAGACTGCATATATATATATATGGATACAGCCGATGAATATATGCATGGGTAACGCGGTGAATTTTATATCTGGCTTATAGTATAATGTGGTTAATAATTAGGCATTATATCAAAAATACCCTTAATTTGCTATTTCTACTTCAAGACATACCCTGGTCACATGTGACCAATGTGACCGAAATATAGTATGGTCACATTTTGATTTTTATCGATTATAATGTTAAATTTATGGTGATCACACTAATTGATTATGTTCATACCTTGTATATCTTACTAATCATTTGATTAAAACATCATAAATTTAACGTTATGAACAATGGGATCAATATGTGACCACACTATATTTCGGTCACATTGGTCACATGGTCACAAGGGTAGGTCTTGAAGTAAAAATAGCAAATTAAGGGTATTTTTGATAATGCCCCGGTTAATTATGACAAAAGGGCATTACCGTACTTTTACCGTATAAATATGATACTCTTGATTGGTTATATATGAAGTTATATATGAACATTTGCATCAAAGAGATTTTCAGTGTAGTACAATGTAGCTTAATAACCCCCATCTTCGGTCCGTCTAATTTCTTGTCGTAATAATTTACCATCTTTAATTTTGTTTTGCCGTTATTTTAACCGACTCAATTTATTAAGAGGCGTCATCTTGAAAATCATTGAATAGTTGTGACTGTCTTTACATGATTTTTTTTATAATCCGAAATTTCATCGGATTTTAGGTCCAACTATATCTCTTAGAAGAATGGAGAAAACCAAGTGAATACTCCTCTTCAAATGAATACTCGAACTTAGATTGGAAAGAAGTTTTGTTCCGTTCCTAACCGTTTGAAGCCAACCAATCTTGGAAGTCCGAACATAACTAATATTCATGCAAAATCATATTAGACTACATGACGGTTGAGGTTTCCTTGGGGATAGACAAAACTGAGGTTCTAAACAAAATATCATGGTCCGACCTTGAGAAGTTAATAGTTTAAATTCTTTAAAATTTACAATTCACATATTAAAACGGGGAATTAGACACATATGAATGTTTACCAACGTTCTAAAGAAAACGGAACATGGTATATGTATATAACATATATTCATGGTATCAGAGCACTAAGATTTATAATGTCAAAGTATATGTATGTAACATATATATATTTAGGAATCTCTATACGTGTATACATCTCAAGAAAAAGCTAGTAGGAAAAGGCTGAAGGGCTTTACTTGAAAATTTTATTCTCTTTCCACTCTCCTTGATCCAAATACGCGTCTAGGTTCACATGCTTTCTTTTGCCATGAGTATCTCATCTCTTCATTCCAATGGCGCATATAAGCTAGGACTTCTTAATCTCTCGACTATAAATACAAATGTCACACACTGTCAATCTTCTCAAACCCTAAATAAAATCTGAATTTGTTACATGTATATATATATTATTGCTCTTGTAATGCTTTTACTCATAACATGTATGTATATATATAAGCATAATATAATGATGTATATGGGTCGGATGTCTCCTAGAGTTCCTTCGAACACTTCATTGGGAAATGTCATGTTATATGATCCTACCTACTGAAGTGTTTGGGGGAACTCCGGGCGGTATTTGGTGATATTTCAATCTTTCCATATGATTTTTTTTATATGGTTAACGGTCTAATATTTCCTCAATTGATTAAGATTGCTAGGGTTTGAGCTATCTACTATTGTATGTAGAGCTAAAGCTATGATTTGTTCTATATATTCCTCCTTCAGGTATACTGAAGTATAGGAAAACTTCATCATCCATATACTGGAGAGTTTCAACCATGGTAAGAATCTGCGGTAACTTTTTTTTTTTTTAATAATGAAATGTGTATAGCCATTGGTGTTAATTATGTATAGATGTATGCATGTATATGATGCCCAGGAGGGTTGTTTACATGTTAGTATTGTTATATGCATGTATAGGGTCATATAGAAGTTTACGCCTAATTTTACATCGGTTATATAATGGAATGGTACATGAAAAATGAAAGTTTTGGGTTCTTTACACGAAGAGATTCATGGGGAGGAAGATTAATAATGAATTATGGTTAGAACGGATGTTTTTTTTTTTGTAATCGGGTGTATTGGGCCAAGACCCAAATTGATCTTGAAATTGGGAGTAAGTCATGTGATTAGAATTTGCGTTTCTACTCTCCAACTTGAGGTTCGAACTCGGATGGAACAGACGTTTTGCGTCAGGTGAAAGCCCCGTTTCACCGGTTGAACTATCCAAGTCGGATATCACACGAATGTTTGCATGTGCCTCGTACCCTAATATTTACGATTACTTACAACATATTAATTTTGTCTTTAATCTTAAATCATATGCGATTACTCTTGGTTTTGCACTCTTGACACAAACTTTGTACGTAGTCTCAATATTCTCTGGTAATGTATTCTTGAATCTATTCGAAATATCGAATCGGTAATATTAATATCGTAGTATTATCATTTCAATGGTAATTATCAAATGATTCTGAATATACAATACGGTTTTTCTTTCAAGAAATTTTGTAATGATAAGAAATGTAATAATATGTGAATTTTATACTGATAAATATTACACAGCAACGGTGAATTCATTTCATCTGTCGAATAACACATTACACAGCAATACGTTATTTTATTCTTGTATATATGCCGCTACTTCACTTATTTTACTAATTAATACAATGCCCTTTTAACCCCCCCCCCCCCCCCCCC